GAGATTTTCACTGTGATAAGTGGGAAAGGAGTTGAGGTCTTCCTTGATAAACCTGGACCTGGGAAATGGCAGGCCTGCAGTCCTAGCAGGGCTGTGACCCACTATGCAAGAGAAGGGAAAACAAAAAGAGGACAATCCAGAAAGAGTGAAACCTGGGTTTTGAGATTCTAGAGTAGAGTGTAGTTGAAGCACACTTTTCAGTAACATCTCCAATACAGTTTAGTGCTATTAGGACAGCATCTGTAAATGCTGAGTTGTTAAGTTGATGATACTTACATAAGACAATCTAATTCTTCACTCGGGTCTTGACTGAGTACTCGCTATGTTCCAAGCACCAATATTATCTAATAAAAGTCCAAGAACAACTACATGAAGCACTAATGATCATTGCTCCTTTGGAACAGGTGCAGCAGGAAGCCAGCACTCTTGCCATGGTCATATTCGATGGCCTCCCAAGGGGGCAGCTCTTCAACATTTTGCCCTCTGAATCTTTTTGTTCAAATGAAACCGACCGAGTTAGATTCCTGACCTGTGCAGTATCATGGGGGCCTAGAACCCTCTTTACTGCACCCTGTAATCCTAAGAAATCCTTAGGGTATTGAGCTTTCAAAGATATAAACAGCCCACTGTGGCACATGTACCCTAGGTTTACCACCATTGCCCTAGGGCTTTAAAAATATTTTCCAAATTGCTTTATCACAGAGCACATTAAGGAAAGGTGAGGAAGCCTTTTATTTGTTTTTTGTTTGTTTGTTTGTTTGTTTTTTGAGTCAAGGTCTCACTATGTAGTACAGGTTGGCCTTAAACTTGTGGAGATCCTCCTGCCTCAGCCTTCTAAGTGTGGGGATTATAGGAATGTACCACTAGTTCAGGCTGGCCTTAAACTTGTGGAGATCCTCCTGCCTCAGCCTTTTGAGTGCTGGGATTATAGGAATGCACCATCACAGTTGGCCCTTCTGTTTGTTGATATGGAACAATCTCCAAAAACATTAGATAGATTAAAGTGGGCCAAGGGCACAGCTTGGTTGTAAAGCACAAGCCCACAATCAGCCAGACCCTGGGTTTGATCCCTAGCACCATTTAAAAAATAAAAATATATATATATAAAATATAATCTATCTATCTATCTATCTATCTATCTATATATATAGAACAGTGCATACAATGTGCTACATTTGTCTTATTAAAAAAAAAGA